CCCTGCTTCACTCCGTTGGTCACTGCGAATGCCTCTGAGACAGCTCCGTTGTCCGTGACTCGCGCCATCATACCGTCGTGCAGCTGACGCACCATGTGAGTGAATCGCTCCGGACAGCCGAATTTCTGCATGATCTTCCACAGTCCTTCACGATTCGCCGTGTCGAAGGCTTTAGTCAGGTCTACGAAGGTAGAGTACAGGTGGGTCCGCATCTCCTGGCACTTCTCCTGAAGTTGGCGGGCGGCGAAGATCATATCCGTGGTCCCACGATGACGACGGAAGCCGCATTGGCTTTCCGGCAGAAGGCCCTGTTCCAGATGGTTATTGAGGCGGTTGAGCAGGATGCGAGCGAAGATCTTCCCGGCGATGTTCAGTAGGGAGATGCCGCGGTGGTTGTCGCAGACTTGGCGATTCCCTTTTCGCTTGTATAGGTGCACGATAGTTGCGTCCTTGAAATCTTGCGGGACTTCACCTTGACGCCACATCTCCTGGAAGAGCGCAGTCAGGTGATCCATCAGTAGGGGACCTCCGTGCTTGTAGACCTAAGCAGGGATGGCGTCCGATCCGGGTGCTTTCCCGCTAGAGAGCTGCTGCACGGCCCTGATGGTCTCCTGGAGAGATGGCGGGAGGTCGAGGTCCACGTTGGTCGCCACTTGCGGCAAGCGGGCGATGGCGGCGTCGGAGATGACGGAAGGGCGGTTGAGGACGCCCTGGAAATGCTCGGCCCATCGCTGTAGGATTTGCGTCTTCTCAGTCAGGAGAGTGCTGCCGTCGGCGCTGAGGAGAGGAGCAGTGCCCTTCGTCGGCGGACCGTAGACAGCTTTGATCGCGGAGAAGAAGTTCTTCCATTCGTTGCGGTCCGCGTAGCCTTGGATCTCCTCAGCTTTGCGAGCAGTCCAGGCGTCCTGCATCTCGCGCAGTCGTTGCTGAAGCTGTCGGCGACTGCGGTAGAAGGCAGCTTTGTTGTCCTCAGTAGGGTGATCTACGTAGGCTTTGTGGAGGCGGTTCTTCTCAGCAAGCAGATTTCTGATGGCGGCGTCGTTGTCGTCGAACCAGTCCTGGTGTTGGCAGGGAGCGTGACCGAGGACGGCGAGCGCCGTCGTCTGGACCGTGTCTCGTAGTTGACACCAGCGGTTTTCCACGGAGGTGTTCTCGGCAGCGGCGGCGGCGTCGTCGGCGGCGGCGGCGGCAGGGATAGGAAGATTGTCTAGCCGTTGAGCTAGCTCATTGCTGAAATGGAGACGGTGAGCAGGCAAAGACAACAAAGCAACATTCAGCTTACCTGGGGGTCGCTTACCTTGAGGTCTCCTGCGAGGCTGTAGGCGAATACGCATCTTCGAGATGACGAGGCGATGATCGGTCCACCCATCAGCACCCGCGATCACCTTCGTTACCAGCACGTCCCGCTGATCTCGCCTCCGGACGAGGACATAGTCCAGCAGGTGCCACTGACGCGACCGAGGATGCCTCCAGGTGGCCTTCTCTCGCTCCGGCAGACAGAAGAACGTGTTCGTCAGGATGAGGCGGTGTTCTGCGCAGGTGCGGAGCAGCAGCAGGCCGTTGTCGTTGGAGCCGCGGAGACCGTGAGGACCCAGCACTCCCCTCCAGGCCGTATGGTCTGTGCCGACGCGGGCGTTGAAGTCACCAAGGACAATCAACTTGTCCGCCTTCGACACAGTCGCCAAGAGGGCGTGCAGGTCCTCGTAGAACTTGTCTCTGACGGCGTCGGAACAGGTCATCGGCGGAGCGTAGGCGCTGATGATGGTGGCGAATTTGCCCCCACCCCGCAGAGGCAGGCGGAGGCTCATCAGACGGTCGTTGATTCCTTGCGGCAAACAGGGTAGTCGTCCAACGATGTCGGTCCGGATGGCGAAGGCGACACCCGCGTCTCGTCGCTCTGCCTTGGGTCGACCACTCCAGAAGAAGGTGTAGCCGGCACCCACCTCCTCCAGTTGGCCTTGTTCGGAGAATCGGGTCTCGCTGAGTGCGGCGATGTCCACCTTGTAGCGCGCCAGTTCTCGTGCCACTAGCGCCGTCCTCCGTTCCGGTCGGTTGCTCCTCGGATTGTCTAAAAGGGAACGAACATTCCAGGCTGCCAGAGTGAGCGGGCTCACCCTGCCAGTCTGGCGACTGCGGCGGCGAAAAGTAGGAGTAGGAGAAGAAGAAGAATAGGCTGGAAGAGGAAGAGAGCGATTGTTGTTGTTGTTGTTGTTTCGGTTTTGGCTGTTTCGACCGTGTGTTTTTTGTCTGCGGCCACGGCCAGCCTACAGACAGCGTGGTTCCCAGCGATCTTTAGGGCACCTTTTCTAGCCCCCTCCCCCTCGCGGGGGCAGGCAACGCATCCCTGAACAGGGCTGCCCGGTTATCCCAGACGGCTGCCGGACTCCACTATGGGCCACGACTTTTTGTTAGTGAGAGAACGACCCGAATTAGCCTGGGACCTTGGTGGTGAGGTGATGATGTGATGGAGTGAAGTAGGAGAGAGCATGCACACTACCTAACGCAATGGGACTTAGAACTAGAGTGGACAAGCGGACACAGTCACCAGTCAGAGAAAAAGTGAGGGCACCACACAAAGTCAAGCACCGTACACCTAGCTATTAGTAGAGAGTGGCATATACTGACGGACAGACAATCGCAGCAGGCATCGTGGGTGTCGTTTAGCTATTAACAGACAGACTAGCATATAAAGGGCAGGCAGCAAGCGCAGCGTACGACGCGGAACTTCAACAAACAAAAGGAAGAAACAAAGCAAGCGCACTTACCTGAGGGGAAACTTACCTGGTGGCCGCCTACGATGGTCCAGGCAGAGCCTCGTCTCGACGAAGTCGACGCGAAGATCCATCCGGCCAGCGCAGACCACAGTACCGCGCGTGCAGGTGCACGCACGGATACCCTCACCTGGTTTAGCCCGCCGGTCGAGACGGTTGCCCGGGGTGTGGCCGCCGAGCAGAGCCCAGCTACGTGGAGCCACAGGTGAGAGTGCAGGTCCACGACAACATATATGCCGGGACGCCATCTCTCATGTGGCATATATATTTCACATCCATTAAGTCCGACCGAAGGTGGTAATTTTCCTCATGCATACTTCGACCAGAAAATTGAACTGTGTTTTTCCAAGGACATCCACTTCTTCAGTCCACACTGTTGGCGGTAGGGGTAGTAACGGTAATCTGAGGAGAATGATTTGCTCACCGGATCGGGGGACTTTTCTGGCTGACGTTTCGAAGAGCTGGGGCTGCTCTCCATTGTCAAAGCGTCAAGTGAAAAAATCGATCAGCATTTTTGAATAGACTGCCGCATCAGTTGGCCCTGGGCTGATCGATTTTTTTCTTCTTTCTCTGCCTTGGCCTACTGGCCGTCGCCTGTGAATGTTGGTGGCCTCCTGTAATACGTGTCGTCACCTCAATTGGGGTTGGTTGCGTTTGCGTTCCCCTTTTGGGTGAAGTGGTTGACAGGCCGTGTTTGCTCGGCATTCTCAGGCTCCGTGTGATTGTCTTGTCTTCGTCACGGTGTATGAAGTGACGTTGGACTTTATAGGCCGAAGGAAGGTCTAGATGCCTGTTGATGGAGTTGGCATCTGAGTACCAAGCCTCAAGTGTGAGACGCTCAGTCCTTGAGGTGCCCCTGCCTAAGACGGCTGCTCCTTGAAAATCAAAACTGTGACCAGTTTCCCCGATCTGAGCCGCAAGCTGTGAGTTTGGGTCTAGTCTCCGTGTTGCCAGTTTGTGCTCATGTAGGCGGGTCTGCAATTTCCGTCCGGTTTCCCCAACGTAGTTGCAGTCTCCATCCTTACAACTTATTTGATAGACAACTGCTGAGGTTTCAGTGGGTGGCAATATGTCTTTGGGTTGCATCAAACGGCGACGAATTGTTGCCTGGTGTCGATGGGCAATACCTACCCTGGCGGGTTGTAGCAGTCTTGAAACCGCCTCGGAGACTCCTTTAATGTAAGGAATAGCCCTCCAGACTTCGGGTTGTTCTTCTTGTGGCCGTCGTCTGTTCACTCGGCGCTTGCTTTGCTTGATGAAGTGGCTTGGGTATCCATTGGTTCGAAAGAGATCATGCAGATATTGTCGTTCAACTCTTTTGTCGGCTGGTGTGCTGCAGTGTGTTTCAACTCTTTGGAACAGATTACGGACACAACTGCGTTTGTGAGAGAGGGGGTGATTGCTGTTGAAGTGCAGTATTTATCTTGTGTTGGTGGCTTTTCTGAAAATGGTAGTTTGTAATTGTCCAGTTGCACACCGACGCACAAGGACATCGAGGAAGGGAAGTTGGTTGTTTGTTTCGGCTTCCATCGTGAATTGGATATTCTGGTTAACCGAGTTCAGTAATTCTTTAAGGTGCTCCACGTCAGATGATTTGACAATGGCGAAGGTGTCATCGACGTAACCAGCCCAGAACTTTGGTTGATACTTGGTGAACACCAAGTTTTCTATCCGTTGAAGAACCACTTCAGCAATCAGCCCTGATATGGGGGAGCCCATAGGGGTGCCTTTGATTTGTTCATACATTTGTCCACCAAAGGTGAAATATGTTTTTAGGCAATAGCGTAAGAGCTCCATGAGATGTTCAGTCTTCAGAGGATTGTCTCTCTCGTTGTAGCGATCAGCCATGAGTTGTCTCACAACGTCAATCGCTAGTTGTTTTGGAATGGAGGTAAAGAGTGAAACGACATCAAACGATACCATGGATTCATCTGGCTCTAGTTTCAGATGTTTTAAACGTTCAAGGAACTGATTAGCAGAGGCGACTGTTGTTGGCGATCCTTCTGCCAGGAACTTAAGACGAGAAAACATCCATTTTGCCAAACCGTATGTAGGAGTACCACGTAGGGAGACGATGGGTCTAAGAGGCATGTTAGCTTTGTGTACCTTCGGAAGACCATAAAACCGCGCGGTGGCAGAGTCAGAGGGTTTCATAAGAAACCAATCTTTAGCTGTGATTGCTCCATTCGCTCTGAGTTTTGCCAGGCTTTTGTTTATTTGAGTAAGCAGGTTTTTCATCTCACTGGCTGGACAAAGTTTATAGGACTGTGTGTCGTCGAGTAGGCTCAAAGCTTTCTTCTGGTAATCGGATTTGTCAAGCACTACTGTGGAACGGCCTTTGTCAGCCGGCAGGATGATTATGTCTTTATCCCCTTTTAGGCTTTTTAATGATTGCTGTTCTTCCTTACTAAGAGTTTCGCTCTTCTTATGTTGCATTAACAAAGAGGAGGTTTTGTGACGGATCAACTCCTTCGTCTCTTCTGACGTTTGTGTTAGCTGAAGAACAGATTCAAAAGCGGCAATGAACTCTGGGGGTGCAGCGTCTGCTGTGTTGAAAGTGGCTCCACGTCCCAGGACTGCAAGTTGTGTGCTGGTGAGGGATTTAGAAGAAAGGTTGTGGACAAGGTCGTCCGAAGAGTGATCTGAGCGAACTGGTCTCAGTTTGGCCAATTTTACTGATAATTCTTTGTTCTTTTTGGCTCGTACCTTTCGACCATGATTGAGAATGGTTTCCTCAATGTCCTTCGATGCTTCACCAGTAGTTGCCTCGAAATATGATTTTGATTGAGCAATTTCTAGGCTGTAACGTTGCAGTCTTTGATGGCAATCATGTATAAGTACTCTAGTCATTCTTCTGCCGTGTCGCGCCAAAGTCTCCCTTGCCAAGGTTGAATTCACAGGCGGCTTATAGGTGACACATTTTGGAGTCAATTGTTGGTCAAGGCAGCGATGAAGAAAGTGCAGGCATCTAGACCTTCCTTCGGCCTATAAAGTCCAACGTCACTTCATACACCGTGACGAAGACAAGACAATCACACGGAGCCTAAGAATGCCGAGCAAACACGGCCTGTCAACCACTTCACCCAAAAGGGGAACGCAAACGCAACCAACCCCAATTGAGGTGACGACACGTATTACAGGAGGCCACCAACATTCACAGGCGACGGCCAGTAGGCCAAGGCAGAGAAAAAAGAAAAAAATCGATCAGCCCAGGGCCAACTGATGCGGCAGTCTATTCAAAAATGCTGATCGATTTTTTCACTTGACGCTTTGACAATGGAGAGCAGCCCCAGCTCTTCGAAACGTCAGCCAGAAAAGTCCCCCGATCCGGTGAGCAAATCATTCTCCTCAGATTACCGACCCGGATCTCTTACTTTTGCTAACCTGAAGTTACGGTAATGTTTTGCAGGTCGGAAGGCGTGTCCTCGTTGGTGTTGTTAGTGGTGACGTTGTTGTTAGATGAGAGGCGGGTCAGTCGTGTCCGACGGCGATGTGGACACCATAGCGGGGGTCGGGTGGAGGTCTCTCTCTTTGCCTTGTCAGCAGCTATTCGGTTGGTTTAGAAGATGGCTTTTTCTGTCCACACCAAAGTACGTCTTAAGCGATAGTTTTCCAGGCCCCGGGGCTGACTAACAGGTGCCCAAGCGAAGTTTTCAAGGTGCCCTTTTAGCGACTCCTATTTCCGCTTTGTCTGCGACCACCCATGGCTGCGTGGCCGTCAGATAGCCGCTCAGATAGGTGTTCATATTCTGATTTCCCAACATGGCCCCTCCATTGCAATTTTATCTGCCTCAGTCTGGCGTGTACTCTGAGGAGACCGATGCTTTGCAGGATCTCAGTGTTTGGGATCCTTTCCTCCCACATCGCCTCAAGTATTTTTCGAGGACAGCCAGGGTGGTAATGGTTGATTCTTCTTGCCTGACCTTCATAAACTGTCCAGGTCTCCGCCCCGACAAGGGAATTGTCAGGATAACGGCCCTATGCATCCAAAGTTACGTGTGGAATAGGATGTTGCGAGTGTTCCGGACAGAGTTCCGTAGTTGACTTAAGACTTGGCTGGCTTTGGTGGTCCGACTTGCAATTTTGCCGTCGATCTTGATGTTTCCTGAAATCGTACTCTCAAGGTACGTGAATTTCTCTGCTGTTGTAAGGCAAGCTCCATTGGTATAGCCAACATTTATCTCCGGTCGGCATATGATTACTGTCTTCTCCGCGCCGATAGTCAGGCCGAAGTTTGAACAGCCGGAGACAGAAAGATCCACACTTCGCTGCGAGACCTCTCCCATTGTAGTGTTTAGCGCAAAGTCATCCACGAACAATGAATCTTGGACGATGGCTTTGAATAGCCCCGAAGATGCTTCCCGGCGATGGGTTTTGAACATTTTTCGGACGGTTCTGTAATTGCTGTCGATCCTGGCATCTCCTTATTGTAGGCGTCCATCAGCATTGAGGAGAACATGACGCGAAAACGGCAGGTGTTTGACGTCAATGGTAACCGTGGATACTTAAGAGGTTTCCCCATTGCCTGTGACATAATCCATTACCCCGTCGTTGAGTCGTCTTGCCATTTCAATGAAACCCTCTGGTCAACCGAATGTCCTCATGATTATTCAGAGTCCATCGCA